CTAAAAACAGTGCCTGACTGGCCCACCGGAATACCAGGAAATTTCCCAGTGGGCCGTGGCACCTGGGGCCAGGCAGACAGCCCAGATCACGAGGCTACTGTAATTTAAATGATTTTCCCCTTGGACTGTGCCAGCTTGTGTCAGTCCGAGGGGAGGAAAGAGGGGGGAGCTGGGGGCTGGTGCGGCCGCAATTAGTCTGCCCGTAGCCGGAGGGAGATCTGTCATTCTCCCTGCACTATTTACCAAAATTTCGGCCACATGCCTTGCCTCCGAATGCAAGCGCACAAGCTCTGCCCCCCACATGCACGTTGCTGACCTACCTGGCAGGAAGAGGTCACAAAATGGCAGCTTCACCCACCAGTGCCAGGTAAGCTTAATTATTTATAAAATATTTTACCAGGATGGATACATTGAGATTTCTCTTGTTTTCAAGTATGTCCTGGGTCCACAAAACATTACATTGTTGCAATAGGATACAATATTACAAAAATACAATATACAATATATATATATATATATATATATAAAATTTGTTCTGATACACAGGTTTGATTTTGTAGTTTACGTAATTTAGGTACAGTTCCAAAGATCATCATAACAGTTTTGTCAGTGTTTAGTAAGAGTTTGTTATGCGCTATCCACTTTTCTACCTCTGTGAATTGGTTTTGGAGCACAGCCTCAAGATGCGGTAGTTTAGGTTTACTAGCGTAGATTACAGTGTCGTCTGCATACATGTGTACAGTTGAAGATTTGCAGAAGTTAGGCAGATCATTTCTAAATAGTGTGAAAAGCAGGGGGCCGACTATGGAGCCTTGGGGAACAACACACGTGACTGGAAGAGGGAGGGAAGCACTATCAGAAATGGACATATATTGGAATTGGTCTGAAACATACAATCAAAACCAGATTAGTGGACAATCACCAATGCCTCCATTTTTAAAGGATCACTATAGTGTCAGGAAAACAAAGCGGTTTTCCTGACACTATAGTGCCCTGAGGGTGCCCCCCACCCTCAGGGTCACCCTCCTGTGGCACTGAAGGGGTTAAAACCCCTTCAGCCACTTACCTTAATCCAGCAGCGGGCTCCCTCGGCGTTGGTGACCTCTTCTCCCCTGCCGACGTCAGCTCCCCCATCCTACGTCAGCGGAGCCAAATGCGCATGCGCGGCAAGTGCAGCGCGCGCATTAAAAGTGTCCATAGGAAAGCATTTCTCAATGCTTTCCTATGGACGCTCTGCGCGATGGAGGCATAATATGCCTCCAGCGTCGCAGATGTGCCTCTAGTGGCTGTCAGGAAGACAGCCACTAGAGGTTGGATTAATCCTGCTATGTAAACATAGTAGTTTCTCTGAAACTGCTATGTTTGCATCTGAAGGGTTAAAACCTGAGGGACCTGGCACCCAGGCCACTTCATTGAGCTGAAGTGGTCTGGGTGACTATAGTGTCCCTTTAAGTTTTTGCAAAAGAATTCCATGGTCTACTGTGTCAAAGGCCTTGGCAAAATCAAGGAAATAGCTCCAGTGAAGTATCCTTGTTCCATGCCAATTTGGATGTCATTGCAAACTTTTAAGAGGGCAGTCGAAGTTCAGTGATATTGACGAAAGTCTGATTGATCAGGGGTCAGATAATTTGATCATTGATAATATTCACACAGTTGCGTGTGGATGCATTTTTCCAAAATTTTTGACAATACTGGGAGCAATGATATCGGGTGATAGTTAGATACCAAAGTATTGTCACCACTTTTATTGATATTTACAACTTTTGCAGTCTTCGAAAGCATGGGTATGTATGCTGACACCAGGGATTCATTGATAAGGGTAATGACAGGTTTAGCAATTGCTGGCGCACTGAACTTCAACAATGGTGGGATTTTATCTGGTCCACACTGGTTTTTCATTTTTAAATTATTAAGATGCTTATTAACAACACTAACAGGCACAGGTCTAAAACTGAATTTCTCTTTATGAGGATTTTGAAGATTTGGCAGGGCCTGATCTTTATTTGTGGTCTGAAAATAAGTGTCATTTGTTATAGCAACCAGGGTGGTAGCACAACCAACAAAATCATTTTTAAAGGCATTTGCTCCATCTAGGGGGTGTTGCAGTGTTTGGTTGTCCATTTTGACAGTGGAGGGTTGGGAGTGGATTGAGGGGGTTTGTGTGCTATTTATGATTTTCCAGAAGTTTCTTGGGTTTGCTAGGTTGTGGTTTCAATTTTCACAGAGAAATTGGGCCTTTGCTTTGTTTTGTGCATGCATTTCTCCATTGTCTGTAAGTACAGTGATCGTTCATAGAGCCAGTACGCTTGAGCTTTGAACACAGTGAATCTCTAAATTGGTACGTTTGAATGAGGTCAGCTGTAACCCAGGGCAGGTGTGTCCCTTTGAGTCGCACTTCACGCAGAGGGGCATGCAAATTTCAAACACGCAACAGCTCAGACTGAAAAAATGCAATTGCAGAGTCTAGATCGAGTCAGATTAGATCAAGTCAGATTAGACCTAATCTGTGCCATGGTATGTTCTTGAGATAATTTAAAATGGATTCAAGATTAAATTTTTTGAAAGACCTGGTGATTATAATCTTGGAGAGGATTTAGTGGCCTTTGTTTTGTGTATGCTCTACACTAGACAGTGGTCACTGAAACTGTTAGGGAGAATCCCCGCCTCCTGGATTCTGTCAGGACAACTGGAGGGAATCCAATATAGCAAGGTACAGTTCTTGCTTTTAATATTACTGCGAGTTGGGAAGGAAATTAATTGTGTTAACTGCAAAGTCTTAAACAGTGTACATGATTTATTATTTTTAGAATTCAGACAATCAATATTAAAATCTCCAAAATCTCCCTTTTTGGAGAACACCTCGTGCTTGCCCTTCACTTGACCCCTTTGCTTCTCTTAATCTGTAAACCAGAGCTGATCTGAGGGAGCTTCCTCTGTAGGTATAATTTAAATAAAATACTAGATTGTGATTCTAGAAATAGAAGTTAAATTCTTCTTACCCACCGAGATAAACTGGGACAACGAGAACTGCTAATTACTCGCCACCATAGTTCGATTCTATGGTTAACTCGGCTTTTAAAGGAAAACAGTTCATCCGTTGGTCTTAGGAACCAAAACCCCTTGGTGCAAATCCAAGTAAAAGCTGTGAACCCCCCTCTAATTTTTAACTCATCTTTTACATTAACCCTAATTCTATTAACACTACCTCTTGTAATCTCAATTTTCTCCTTAAAAACTCAACCACCCCTCCTTGTTAAATCCACTGT